TGGATATATATATATATATATATATATATATTGAAAGGAATGGTTGGAGGCTATTGGAGGCTATGATACGAGCCTTGATCATCCCTCATATGCCTATAATTCAAGTGTGACACCCTACACTCGGGGAGATCAAAACCCAGACCAGAGGAGACTTACAATTGACAAGCAGATGCCCGACTAACTGATTTGAGTACAAATAATGTGCTTAACAAAACTCATAAAATTATGTTCAAATTTGAGTTACAACATTAAATCAAATTATGAATGAATTAGAAACATATTAGTTAAAAATAAGCTATCAAAGAAATCATGTTGGACTGCTCAAATATCTGAAAAATGCGGACAGTAGCAGGAATTGATCGACTGTCTCAATCGACCGGCCACTCTTGCCGACCAACTGGCCACATCACTGGATGGATCCAGAAATGAAAAGGTGTCATTGAAAACCAGTAAGTCTCAAAAGCATAATGACTCGTAACTCTCAGGAGCATAATGACTCATAACTCTTAGGAGCATAATGACTTTATCACTCCAAGGGGAGATGATGTGATTTTATAGATCTTCCTATGATCTATAAATAAGAAGATTTTTTTCATGTAATGAGGAGGAAGCCATTTGAGCTATACAACCATTTAGGCATCACTCTCTCATCGTTTGTAACAACATCTTTCAAAATATAAATGTGCCCGAGAGCACGAGGAATGCCCTCGCTTTGCCACAATGGGGGCAATCGTTGTGTCACTCATTCCTCTCTCTCTCTCTTTCTCTCTCTCTCTCCTCTCTCTCTTTATTCTCCCTCTTTATTCTCCCTCAGACTCACACTCTATGCCTTGGGCATGATCAATATTATAAATTTAGATTCAACATCCTAAAAGATGTGGTGAGCATGGACAATATCGTCAACGAAAAGCTGAGTAACACGAAAAAGTAACTCTTCAATAGACACATCCTTGCTAAAAGAACACAAGGGAACTTGCACGAAGCAACATATTCACTACATTTTTCCTCGTCGCTGACAATCTCCAAGAGATTCTACCTCTTTTCCCATAGATATGTGCACTCTCCTTTTCAGGTGTAGAGATCTCCCTACATCGTCTTCATTAGGAAAGAATTGAGGAATAAGTGAATCTACTCAGCACCTCTCTCGGTCTCCAGATCCAATTATACTGGAGAAGTAGTGTGATCCGCATTGCGCCGGCAACCTAACTCGCCGACATCTCTTCGCTCGACGATCTCATCGGTCTGCCGTCTCTACCGACCGACGCACCTGACAACGTAAAAAATTGATTTATCTGCAACTTAATTGAACAGAATCACTACTTCCCCCAAAATCATCGACCTCGACCTCCAGATAGCCAAAAACTTCACCCCCGTTGGTGACATTTCCCGACGCCGCAACCTCCCAATTTCTCGCAAAATTTCCCTCATCACTCAATTCCAAGACGGTTGTGCCTCCTACGCCTGCCGATTCAGTGAAACGGAGCGGCTTCAACAAGAGCAAGCCTTCCGACAAGCACCCTCAGGCAGGCTCCTACTCCGGTCGCCTCCGGCCAACCACCTATTTTAGGTCGTTAACCTACCTCCGGTCGGCTGTAAATCAAGAAAGATTTACATACAAACCATTCTATTCTTATATATTTAAGTATTTACATAAATACCACTCAATTTATTTGTTTCCAACCCCCCCCCCCCCCCCTCCGGCTGGTCATCATCCCCCGCCTACTCCCTCCAGTCTACCGTTGGTTCAATCACCCCTAGCTAACCACCTGTTTCCGATCGATCACCTAAAATATCCAGGCGACCGAAAAAAATTTTGACCGAAAATTCCAAGCGATCAAAATAACCAATAATAATATTTCATCTTTTTTCTGAAACATCTATACATAAACCTCTAATTATGCTTTTATAGGTTGACAGAAACTCAAGAAACTTGAAAACTTCATAGGTGTCAACATCTTGGCCGACACTTAAGAAGCTTGAACTAATCGAGCAAATAAAAAATTCCCCTTTAGGGGCGAGCAAATCAATGATTCCCCTCAGGGGCGAGCGAATCAACAACTCCCATCTGGGGCGAGAGAAGCAACAGCTCCTCTCTAGAGCGAGCAAATCAACAATGCAAGAGAATCAATGATTTCCTCCGGGGCGAGTGAATCGACAAGTCTTCTCCAATGCGAGTGAATCAACAACTCTCCTCTGAAGTGAGCAAATCAATGACTCATCTCTAGGGCGAGCTAAATTAATGACTCCCCTCTCGGGCAATCGAATCAACAACTCCCCTCCAAGGCAAGAGAATCAACAACTCCCAAATCAACGATTCTCCTCCGAGGCGAGCTAAATGAATGACTCCACTCCGGGTGAGTGAATCAACAATTCCTCTCCAGGGTGAGCGAATCAACGACTTCACTCCACGATGAGTGAATTAACAACTCCCCTCCGGGGCGATTAAATCAATCAGCACCAACATTCATCACTAAGCAACTATTGCAAACAAATAGCTTGATAGGGAGAAATGTCGAAACAAAGATGAAGCCAATAAAATCAACTAAATGTCAGCTCAATTAGCCAAAGGTCAATTAACCGACCAACAATGTAGATAAAAAATTAACCTGAAAAAGCCTCAAGAAAGCACTTCAAGACTGAAGAAAACAGGGCGATAAAAGAATCCAAAATCACATTTGAATTTTTGACATTTAAAGCCTCATTCTTATCGCAGCTTCACTTTCAAGAAGTAAGAGGCTTAGGGGCATTTATGTATGTCTGAAAAATGTTGATGGTGGTAAAGATTGGTCGGTCGTTTCATTCGACCGACAGCTCAAATCGATCGACTGAATAACTCGCCTAATGGATCCAACAATGAAAATGTGCCAATGAAAACCAATAACTCCCATGAGCATAATGACTCATAACTCTGAGGAGCATAATGACTCGTAACTCCCAGGAGCATTATTATTTGTAACTTCTAGGGGCGATCATGTAATTTTCTAGATCCCATATGATCTATAAATATGAGGATCTTTTTCATGCAAAAACAATGAAGCCACTTGAGCTCTCCAACCATTTAGACACCACTTTTCGATTTTTTAAACAACATCTTTCAATATATAAAATGAGTCAGTGAGCCTGGGGAACACCTCCACTTTGCGCTGCTCGGGCAATTACCGTGTCACTCATTCTCTCCTCTCTCTTTTTCCTCTCCTCATTCTTATGTTTTATGCTTTGGACATGGTCAACAAGATAAATTTGAATCCCACAAAAACAAAAAAAATAAAAAAGACTAAAAATTTTTTGAGAAATAAAGGAGTCAAATTCAATTACTAAATTATAAAAATAAATAAATATAACTTTAAATGAAGCCAGAATAAATTGAACCATGCAAGCTAATATTTCTTAGTCCCGAGGACCGGATTGAATCAAGTAAAACCTATTTCTTTCCACTTCCACTTCTTCCGCGGTTTTGCCATGGCGTGGACAAAACCCTAATCAACGATACCGTGAAAGAAAAGGTATGTTTGGTACACCTTCCTCGTCGCCGGCGTTTGGCTCTCCATCGCCGACCCCGGCCTTCGGCACTCCCTCCACGGCACTCACCTTTGGAACCCCCTCTTCCACTCCTGCCTTCGGCACCCCCTCCACTCCATCATTCGCGACGCCATCCTCTACTCCGGCGTTCGGCACTCCATTTTCCACGCCGGCATTCAGCACGCCTTTTTCCACTCCGGCGTTCAACACGACGTTTTCGACACCGGCGTTCGGGACCCCATCGACACCGGCGTTCGGGACCCCATCGGCACCAGCATTCGGGACCCCATCGACACCGGCATTCGGGACCCCGTCAACGCCGGCGTTCGGTTCCACTCCCTTTTTCCAACAACCCCAACAACTTCAACTCTACAGCAGCAGCAGCAGACATCCTTCTCCTTCTTTCCTCAGCAACCGCAGCAGCAGTTCCCTTCTTTTGGCTTGCAGCACAATGCGCAGATCACCACGCAGATGGCGCCTGTCGCTCCACTCACTCTGTGCCTCGCTGACCGTGACGTCCTGGTCTGCTGCATTCTTAAACCACTCTAGGTTAACCATTGAAAGTTTTATGCAATGATTGTGATGTCTATTTTACTAGGCGATCGTAGATGCCTACAAGGAAGAACCGGCCAATCCTAAATATTCTTTCAGGGTAGCATTCTTACTTTAATTTTGAGCTTTAGGGTCTGTTTGGTAAATCTTGTTAATCCAGATTCAATAAATCTTTGTTGGTTTAAATCCTGAAACACTGTTTGACATGATATGTTTAAAATTTGATTAAATTTTAGTAAATTATCGGACAAATATTCTTAAAATTTAGAATTTAAATAAAGAAGAAAGAAGTAAAATGAAAAAAATTGTAAATCTCTTAAGCCCCACTTGTCCCACGATTTACTATGATTTTGCTTAAAATATGGAAAGCAAGACTTAATTTTTGTTGCAACAATTTTTTTTTTCAAGATTCTGCCTTAATCTTGTTAAATGTTTGCTAAATATTTCAGCCAAACATCCCCTAAGTATGCTGTGCCATTTTGGTTATGAAATTTCTGACTGTTATTTCTTTTGATTTAGCATTTGCTTTTTAGTGTGACTGATCCGACAGCTAGGGTGAAACCGGGTGAAACCTGTTGGTGTTTCCTGTTGGTGTTTCTGATGTGAGTTACATCTAGTTTTTGGTGAGCTTATTTTTGGTTACTTGAATTGCCTTTTCTTGAAAGTATACTAAATTATGTGTTTTAGATAAAATGGGCGGAGGCAATGGGGAAGCTGGAGGGAATGGGGAGCGTGGATCGGGAGAGATTGTGGCCCGAGCTTGTTCAAGGATTCAAGGGCCTTTCAAATCGAATCAAGGTATTGTAATTGTTTGTATTTGTACTTTGATGAGTTATTTTATGTTGTACTAGTTGTAGTTTTAATTGTAACTTAATTTTTTGTCAATTTTCATCATTGACATGTTGAATCATCATTTCATCCATTGTAAGACGTGTTTTGTTAATTTATGTTTAACTTATGTATCATCTGTGAGACTGTGGCATGCTTTTTCACGTGATATGTATTGTATACTCTGATAGGACTATTTTATCTCATTTTATGATATCAATGATAAATACACATTTACTTGTTTGTCTTGTTTTTTAAATGCTTTTCCCAAGTTTACCATTATATTGTCTTTACAGTGGCAATAAAATGCTTCTATAATGTACTTATGGTTGTAATCGAGCTAAGTCGAGGCAAAAATATCATGGATTGAACTTAGCTTGATCATATTATAAGTTGTTCATGTTCGACACGAGCTCAAGCCGAGCTTTCACATGCTTTTTGCTTGTTTAATTTTTTTAATAATCACACTTGACCATTAGATTAGCTTATTTATATTAATTAAATGAGTACATCAACGAGTTAATAAGCAAGTTTAAAATGTGACTGAGCATTTGACATTTCATATAAAATTATTAACGTATAATTTTACAAATTTGAATTCAAAAGTAATCAAATAAAATTTGAATCAATATCTAACCAGTTACATCAATTGAATAAGAACATATATAAATATCAAGTTTGCTTTCTTACAATCATATAATATTATTAAATATTAACAAATTAGGTCATAAAAATTTTATATCATGTATTAATTGAACTATTATGAAGCTTGCTATAGAGCATTTAACAATTTGTTTGTTGAACATCAAATGAGTTTATTTGTGAACATAAATAAATGAGTTTGATCATGTTTAAGTTTGATTTATTTAACTTCCGTGTTTAAAAAAATTCAAATTATTTATTTACTTATTTGAATGAACTTGGTCTAGTCGGGCTGAGCTCGAGTTGTTCATCAAGTGCATTGGCTCATTTATAGCCTTTAATATACTAATGGTGCAATAAATCAAGAAGAAAGTGTTTATTTAATTATTATGTTGCAGCAATTTTGAAACTTTTTATTTTAGTAACAATCAATGTTCTTGAACAACTTACAAAATCAGAACTCATAACATTGGTATAAAGGGGTAGGTACTATTATGCTAGAATTTCACTGTAATTAATGGAGTATTTGAAATTCAGATATTCTTAAGTCAGATTTACTACTAGCGGTACAAGAAATCTTATGCAGTATCAAATTATTTGCTTTAGCATAAACCTGAGCTTTTTGATTCATTGTTAGTCATTTATGTCAGCTGAAATTAAGATCAAATTGGATTGTTAGCCATGATTTGTTGAGAAGAGAAGTTTCCAATGGAGTGGAAGATTTATATAGTATAAAATTGTTGGCCATGATTTGTTGAGAAGAGAAGGAGATGTACAAGATTAAAAGATTGAATGGCTAAAGAGGATGGGGGCAAGAGGCATAGAGAGATGGAAAAAGAAGAGCTTCACAACTTGGAGAAATCGGGAAAGCGATACTATTTATAGTAATAGCCATAGATTTTTTTTGGCATTCTATCCTTATTAACATTAATATAATGACATGAATGACCAAATGGAAAGTGATTATATTACTTTTGCAATTAACAAACAATAAATAAGGCAATAACATAGGCATGATTAAACTATAGGTTCTAAACAAATATGAAATTATAAACAATGGCATAAGGCATATAATTGTAAGTAAATCCAATATCCTTGATTTGCAAAGAACACTATATGTATTGAAATGCAAGTGGAGTAAAAAACTAAAGGCATTTGACTATGTGTTCTAGTCGATGAAATAAATTCCTTGGGAAACTTGTCCTGAATGTAAATACGGAAGGAAATTTTATTTTTGTGATTGATATGTTGAATGTAAAATGCATTCGATCGAGATGAAATATATGTGAGGAGTAATACTATCATCTACAATAATAACAATCCAGCTCTTATCTTATATTTTTGATTATTTTTATACACACTGCAAGATTGATCCAATCTAATTATGTACTCAGTGACAATTTTCATGCAGGGAGGGGGCTGATTTGGTTAATTTAAATTTGGTTTGGATCATATGATTTGATTTGATTAAGACTTTAGTTAGATTCTAGTTGGATTGAATTGAGTTCAAGTAAAGCTATTGATTTTTTTTTAATGAATAAAAATGGGCCTTTATTTTCGATGAGTTGAAGGAAAATGAAAGTCTCAATTTTCATGGAGGAAGGTGGCAAATATAAGTGAGGATAAAAATTATTAAATGGATGGATGGATGGGAATGACCGACTGTTAATGATTTGTTTGCTATATTATGGATGTCTTAATGTCTAGATGGATGGATGACTACAAGGGTTTGAAAACAAACAAATTTTTCTAGCATTTTATGGATATTTTTATTATGAAATGGAGGGTGATCAAACGACCATAACATAGAAGCCTTGTGGGATATAAGGCAAGGTTAGCTTATTTTTAGGATGTTGCCACTTTTCACGTATTTAAGCATTTTTAGTAGGAATGTTTTTGTTGTTTCTTGGAGTCTATAATATATCCATTATTGTTCATTAATTTCCATGGACAAACAACAATAAAACTTCATATTTTCATTCACAAAATCTCTCTTATTTTGGCTAACCCACTATCTCTCTCTTCTCACTTTTGATATTCTGTCTCCTTAGCTCTCTCTTTACCTTAGGGTAAAGGGAGGAAGGTTAGCAAATATAAATGAAGAAGTGAAACGCAAGGGAAAGCTAGCAATAGCAGAAGAAAATGAATATAGGAAATCATCTTGAACGAGTGAAACTTTTAATTATCATTAATTACTTTCATTGCTTCTTAAACTTTTTTTATCTTTCGCCAATATCTTCAATATCTTAAGTAATTATCCTATGATTGAAACCTACAAGTGACCTAAAAGTTTTGGTTTGATTATCATGAAGGTTTATATTTCCAATTCCATCAAGGCCTACATATTTGGAAATTATCCTAAAGACTATACCCGAAAAGGTAAAGGTACTTCCTAAACTATCTTGATTCAATTCTAGGTGTTTGAACTTGGCACTCCTAGATGGTGATCATTCATGAAATGCATGTTTTGGCCATCACTTAATTTTACCTAGGAACCTGGAATGAATGAACAATGCTGATACCCTAAATAATGGATGGTGAAGTTGATTTTTCTTTTGCACTATTAAGGTTTTTTGACAACCTTCTTGGAAATCATGTTAACTATGGCATAATGGGGATTCGTAGCAAAGTGTGTTTGGTGAGATACTAAATCCATCTTGCATCATTTTTTATTTGCTCTCAATGAAATCATGATTGACACCAAAATGTCAAAAGATTTTAAGAGTCATTTAATTGTGGTGGGTGTATTGGTTGTAGTTTAGAGAGGGAGACAATATAATATGTCATTATTAATTATATAGACTAGAGGCCTATAGATAGAATACTAACTTCAAAACTGTCCTTATACCAGTTGATTTACAATTTTTTAGGAGTTTGTCACTTAATAATCTTTGATGGCTATACAGGTGCTAAAAGTACCAATGAAGTGAATCTTATTATTTGCTCAACTATTATTTTAGTCTAATACCGATAAGAAGAGCAGTTAATTCAATAAAAAAAATTGTGGTATTGATTTCTAGATATGCTTTTTCTTTGAATTGCAATGATGAGTTAACTTTACATATATTGTTTCCAACATTGCATGACACCAAAACGAGCATCGTCCATATTTAATGTCTATCTGAATTATTTTAATTTTGGTAATATAGGAAATTGCCTTGTTGGAAGGAGCGATTTTTGAGATGAGCACTCATTTGATTATTAGCTTTCTACTTGCTAGCAATCATTATCATTAATTACTTTCATTGCTTCTTAAACTCTTTTTATCTTTCGCCAATATCTTCGAGGTTTTGAGTAATTATCCTATGATTGAAACCTACAAATGGCCTAAAATTTTTGGGTTGATTATCACGAGGGTTTATATTTCCATTTCCATTTCCATCAAGGCCTACATATTTGGAAGGTATTCTAAAGACTATAACCAAAAAGGCAAAGGTACATCCTAAACTACCTTGATTCAATTCTAGTTGTTAGAACTTGGCACACCTAGATGGTGATCATCCATGAAATGCATGTTTTTACTATCACTAAATTTTATCTGGGAACCTGGAATGAATGAACAACGCTGATTAATAAATTTGACCCTAAATAATGGGGATAGCTGTTAGAACTTGGCACTCCTAGCATTTATGAAATGCATGCATGTTTTGGCTATCACTCTAGGAACCTGGAATGAATGAACAACGCTGATTAATAAATTTGACCCTAAATAATGGGGATAGGTATAATGGTGAAGTTGATTTTTCTTCTACTTTATTAAGGTTTTTGATAACCTTCTTGGGAATCATGTTAATTATTGCATAATGGGGAATCATAGCAAAGTGTGTTGGGTGAGATACTAACTCCATCTTGCATCATTTTTCGTTTGCTCTCAATGAAGTCAAGATTGACACAAAAATTTCAAAAGATCTTAAGAGTCATTTAATTGTGGGTGTATTGGTTGTAGTTCATAGAGGGAGTCAAGATAATATGCCATTATTAGTTATATAAACTAGAGGCCTATAGATAGAATGCTAACTTCAAAACTATCCTTATACTAGTTGATTTACAGTTTTTTAGGAGTTGGTCACTTAATAATCTTTGATGGCTATACAGGTGCTAAAAGTATCAGTGAAGTGAATCTTATTATTCTATCAACTATTATTTTAGCCTAATACCGATAAGAAAAGGAGTTATTTCAATACCAAAAATTGTGGTATTGATTTTTAGATATGTTTTTTCTTTAAGCTGCAACGATGAGTTAACTTTGCATATATTGTTTCCAACACTGCATTACACCAAAATGAGCATTGTCCATATTTGATGTCTATCATAAATTATTTTAATTT